TTTAAATAGATTGTTCAGTGAAGGCCTGTGTGAAGACGTGACATTCAGATGGAGACCTGAGTTAAGAAAGATAAAGCCATGCAGATATCTTGGGAAAGGACATTCCATGGAGAGGAGAGACCAAGTGCAAAGGGAGGTCCTAAGGCAAGATTGTACTTGGTGTATTCTACAAATATCAAGGAGGCAAGACTGGACTAGGTGAGCCAGTAGGAGATGAGATCAGAAAGATAGCACAAAAAAAATAAATAAATAAAAATAACTCTTAAAAAACTTAAAAAAGAAGAAAAAGATAACAGGGGCCCAGATGAGGTAAAACTCTGTTAAGGTCTTTGGATTTAATTCCCAGTGAGATAGAAAACTATTGGAGGGTTTTGAACAGAAGCCTGCTATGACATGCCTTTTGTTTTAAGAGTATCATTCTGATTGCTATCTTGAGAATAGACTGAATATGAGGAAGGGCAGAAGCAGTGAGATAAATTAGGAGGTTATGACAGTAGTCCAGGGGGGAGATGATGGCTTCCCAGAAGATGACGATAGCAGCAGAGGTGGGGACATGTGGTCAGATATTGGATATTCTGAAGGTAGAACCTGCAGGATTTCCCAGAGGATTAGATGTGGGGTGTAAGATAAAGAGAGGAGTTAAACATGACTTCAGGTAGTTGGAAGGATGCAGCTGCCATTTACTGAGATGGAGAAGGCTGTGGGTGGAGCAGGTTGAGGGGAGATTAAGAGTTCAGTTTGGGATCTGTTTTGTTTGAGATTCCTTTTAGACAGGTGGAGTGAAGGTGTCAAGTAGGCAGTTGGGTAGACAGGTCTGAAATCCATTCTGGGCTGTAGAAATGCATTTGGAATTGATCAACATTGAAGACCAAGAGAGTGGAAGATATCACCCAGGGAATGAGTGGAGATAGAGAAAAGAACTGACAGAGACCTGAGTCCTGGGGCCCAGGAACGTTTAGAAGTTGGAGAGAGGAGAACATCCAGCAAAGGAGACTGAGAAGTAATAACCAGGGAGGCAGGAAGAAAACTAAGACAGTGTGATGTTATGGAATCCAAGCAAAGGGGGTATCTCCAGGGGGAGGGAGCAATCAACTGCACCAAATGTTGCTGATAGGTCAAATAAGATAAGGGCAGAGAAGGACCATTGGATTTGGAAAGTGGAGTTCACTGGGTAACCTTGATAAGAATGGTTTCAAGGAGCAATGAAGACAAAAGTGTGAGTGGAGTGGATTCTAGAGTGCATGAGAAGAGAGGAAGAGGACAGAATGTGTACGAATACCACTTTTGAGTTTTGCTGCAAAATGAAGCAGAGAAATATGGCAAATAGGCTGAGAGCTGGTTTTGTCCCAGGTTGGGTTTTACCAGGCAAGTAGGAAAAAGAAAGTGAAGGACCATGGATTGACGGTGCTTACAAGGCAATGATTGTAATGAATCCAAGCCAATGAGTTCAGAAATAAATCAAAGGAGTCAAATGGCCAAAGTCATCATACTTGTCCATGCATTAAGTGCCCGGAATTTTGACCCTTCTGAAAAGCCAGTTAGATCTTCTGAATACCACATACCACATTTCTCAGCTCTTTCCCAATGTCAGTACCCAAAATGACTCAAGATTATAGTCATTCCTGCCCCTGCTTTGATTATTCAACACACTCTTGGACATCATCTCCCTACCCTCCACTTACCCTCTCATGCCCATTTTAACAACAAACTCTGCATTATTTCTTTTAGTACCTGTTGCTACCACACACCCTTTCACATGTTTACTTAACTGCTATAGATTGAATTTCCTTCCTCCTTCAACAATTCACTGAAGCTTAAATTGTGTCACCCAATGTTCTAGGTATTGGAAACTTGGCTCCCCCTGTGACAGTGTTGATATTGTGGGAAATCCTATTACGGTAATTGAAAGGTAATTGAAAGGGGCCTTGAAGAGGTGATTAGATTTCACCACCATGCCACAGTGAGTGGATTAATAATGGTGGTCAGAGGCGTGGTTCTGATGGCTTTAAAAGGAGAGTGCATGAGGGGCTATCTTTCTCTCTTTCTGCTGTGCCATTTTCTGCCATGTTAGACCCCTGCATTGCTGTAAAGCCACCACCAAAGAAGACCCTCATCAGATGTGTTCCCTGAACTTTGGACTTTCCAGCCTCTGAAACTGTAAGCAATAAATTTTGTTTTCTGACAAATTACCCAGTTCCAGGTATTTTGTTATAAGCAACAGAAATGGACTAATGCACTTAACCCACAAGATTCTTTGAGAATATCATGTCACCTGACTGGAAAAATAATTTCTAGGAGAGAAGTAAATTCTGCAAAGGTGAGTATGTCGATATGTAACAACTCCCTGTCCAGACCCAAAGATCAAAGGCAGAGCGATGGCCTCTGGAAACAAGTGAGTTCTTCCATTGCAGGCAGAGGCCCAAAAGTGCCCCACTTGGAGGCACATATGTCCTCCAGTGGGAGCAAGGCATTCGACGTGTGCTCTCAGCAACAGCAATATAGAGCTCTTAAAATAACCGGATCCTGGTCTATTTGCACATTTCAAAAAGGTAAAGGGGAATTGATTCACATCCAGCTGGCGGTGGTGAATTAGCACAGAAAGCACAGTGTCTGTAACCCATGAATACTTTTAGGGCCCCACAAAAATGTGTTAACTTCTTTTAAAATCAGAAGAAAAGGATGGATATGATAATGATAGTGAATGTGTAAAAAGTGAATCCAGCTTGTATTATATTCACCCTGATATCAATATAGTCATAAATTGTCATTTTAAATATTTTTTTGGAGGAAGGGGCCCATGAAGGCAAAAGTGTCTAGGGTCTATGAAAATTCTACTGCAGCCCCCTGCCAGCCTAGTTTCTGGCTTCCTCTAAACCTGGATATTTTGATATGTACATTTAGACACAGCTCTCTTGAAGTGACTGCTTTGAGATGCAACAATGTTTATTTCTTAAAATTTGCCAAAAATTGTAAGCAGTAGATGCCCCTCACTGTGTGAAGGGTGGGAGAGGGATGAGGCAAGACTCTTCATCTACCTCCCTCTGGCCCCTGCCTGTGCTCTCCAGGCCATCCATTAAGTGCTTTTTGGTTTTTGTTTGTTTGTTTGTTTGTTTTGTTTTTGGTTTGTTGTTTTTTTCCTTGGCGGCTAGCCAGTACAGGAATTGAACTCTGGAACCTGGTGTTATCAGCACCACGCTCTAACCAACTGAGCTAACCTGCTGGCCATCCACTACTAGTGGAGAGGAGGGTGGGAGCCCCTCATGGGACAGGCTTTATCTTGCTGTGGATTCTCTGGTGTTCTTGCCCCCAGGTCAACAATGATAATAAGTAATCCTGATAATGATGATAATAGTGAACAGTTCTGGAGCTCTCATTGGACGCTTAACAATGAACTCAACATTTAACATGATTGAAGAAATAATAAAACAGGTGAACTAATTTGATTAAACAGTGCCCATTTTTATATTAAACTTCTAAGAAGGGGTGTGGCTTCCCACTAAACAGTGTAGCTTGCCTTTAGCAAATATACACATGTCCAAGTGCATCACATACATCAAAGACCTGGTCTTTCCAACTTACAGAGTATGAGAAAATATTTGCAAACTATGCAACCAACAAAGAATTAATACTCAGAATACACAAAGAACTTAAACAACTTAACTGTAAAAAAAAAAAAAAAAAACCTGATTAAAAAAATGGGCAAAGGAGTTGAATAGATATTTCTCAAAGGAGAATATACAAATGGCCAACAGACACATGAGAAAATGCTCAACATCACTTAGCATCAGGGAAATGCAATTCAAAACCACTTTGAGATGTCATCTCACACCCATTACACTGGTGATTATAAAAAAGACAGAGAATCACAAATACTGGCAAGGATGCAGAGAAAGGGGAACCCTCCTACACTGTTGGTGGGACTGTAAACTGGAGCAGCCGTCATGGAAAATGGTATGGAGGTTCCTCAGACAACTACAGATAGAACTGCCATACAATCCAGCAATTCCACTGCTAGGTACACAGCCAAAGAAATGGAAATCATCATGTCAAGGGGATACCTGCACTCCCATGCTTATCGTAGCTCCATTTATGATAGCCAAGAGTTGGAACCAACCTAAAGGTCCATTGTCAGACAACTGCATAAGGAAAATGTGGTGTATTTACACAATGGAATGCTATTCTGCCGTAAAAAAGAATGAATTCCTGGCATTTGCAGCAACATGGATGAACTTAGAAAAAGTTATGTTGAGTGAAATAAGCTAGGCACAGAAAGAGAAATACTGCATGTCCTCACTCATAAGTGGGAGCTAAAAAAAAATTAATTAATTAAAAAAAAAAAGAATGAAAGATACAACAATCACAATAATACATTGAGCTTTCAAAAGAAAAGAACAAAACTGAGGTTACCAGAGGTGGGAAGGGGAGTGGGTAAGGGAGGAATTGGTAAAGGGCCACAAAAACGATTACATTGTATAATGTTGAATATACTAATTATCCTGATTTGAGCATCACATATTGCACACAAGTATTGATATTCAACACTGTATCCCACAGATATGTACAGTCAACTATGTTTCAATTTAAAAAAAATTAGTTCATATATAAAATGTTTTACTGAATTTGAATGATATAGTTAAAATTTAATTTTCTTTCTGTTTCAATTTTAATGTTTACTCTTCTTATTGAATTGTTTTCTGTTATTAAACTGTAACATCATTATTTTATTATTTATCATTATATATAAATATATGTTTTTTTCTTAAAAATACATTAGTGTAATGAAAAAGTATTAATCTATTACTTTTTTCTTTTTTTGTATTGTAATATTTATTACATCTTTTATTTTCTTATATTTTCCTGGCATGATTACATACAACAATTTAAAGAGTCTCAATAATAATGACAATAAATAAAATTCTCACTCTCAAAAAAAAAAAAAAACTGATCTTTCAATGATAGCCTTGACAGGGAGCTCCAGCCCCTCCCCACAATGTGCTCACCATTCCTTAGGATGACATCTTTACTCTGGCCCCAAGGGCTCAACCCCTGGGGGCTCTTGATGTTTCCCAGAGCTCTAGAGAAGTGCTCATCCACCACGCTGCTGATGTCCCCTTGGAAATAGGTGAAAAGGACACACCGGGAGTTCCATTCAGTCTTTATAGGCTTCTGGCTGCTTCTGGGCAGCTGGATGACAGTCTTCTTCATTTCTTCCATTGTGGGTGAATGACACAAGTGATGGCTGTGGACCAAATGCAAAATGTCATTGGGACTATTTTAACAAATGGCAGAATAACTTGCCTTCTGGGGAATGCCTTCCTCCCAAATGAATGAGCCAAGGTCAGACCGGAGCTACCTGTAGTCATGAGCTTCCCTGAAGAGCTTGATTAAGCAATCCACTGGGTGCTTGACAATTTCAGCTAGCATAGTAAGCATAGCTTTCCATCTTGATTACTTCCATGCCAGAGGAAAAAACACATTAGATTCTTCACCTCCTCCTGATGCCCTAATCTATGTAAGATGGTGTCCTGCACCTATCCCCACCCTGTCTTAGAAACTAGCAATTACAAACAATACCAGCCCTAAGGCCACCAGATAGATATATTCTGAACCAAATGCAGATCTCCCCAAAAGCATTTTTATGCTAATATATTGGGAAGCTTTGGTGGAAAGCTCCTGAAAGATTGCAAGATTGTCAGCTCTGTTCCCCACCATATCCTCTGCATCTAGAACAGTGCCTTGAATAGAATAGATGCTCAATAGCTGTTTGCTGAGTTGCCTTAAATTTGGGTAGCATTGGTAGCATCATCCCATCCTACCTCGTGAGATCCTTGAGGGAAGAGGCTGTCCATTTGCATCCAGGCGAGGACCTGCACACAGTGGGCACCCAAGACATGCTGTGGCCCTCCTTTACTAGGGAAGTAGTCTGTCTGGACTTTACCTTCAACCACTCAATCTGACTTGTCATGTGCTCTGGCTAAAGATGTATTTAATTTATCCATTCTTGGGAATATAATGAAAATGACTAGAGTTTAATAGACTGATTCCCTCTCTAGTTAATGACAGCTATGAGGACAGGGAGCATTTCTTATTCTCATTCCTAGTACCTTGCACAAAGTAGGTGTTCAGTAGACAATGGCTGACTGACTGAATGCCATTTCATGCAGAGAAAGCACAATGCATGGAAATCACAACAGATTAGGAGGCAGAAGGCCTGGGGTTTTCTTTGGCTGTGTAACTTTGCAGGAACCACATAGCCTTTCTGAATTTTATATTACTCATGGGTAAAAGGGAGGAGTTGGAGTATGTGAATTCTGCAGCCTAGTCTTTTATGGTTCTACTAGAAGTGTCAACAGGTTATGATGGGGACATTAGGAAGGAACCTGGCAGTGATCATGGGACTTTTTAAAAAGTTCTCCTTTTAAGAGAGCATTCCTAGGGACACAAAATGGAGTGGGAGAAAGGGGGATGGGGAGGGAGGTCGTGGATAATTGAGTGGGGGACAGAGTATAATCGCAATTTGTGGTAAGGTGCATGCTGCCAGTATGGATCTGGCCATCACATCTTGGGCACGAGGGGGGACAATCAGCTTTGTACTCCATGAATATTCATAACCAATAAAACAAACAAACAAAAGTTCTCCTTTCAGAATCATTCTAGCCCAAGTCATAACTGCGTTATATTGTCTAGATAAGCCTTTGATTGAGCACCATCCTTCCGTTTCCTCTGGTTGACAGTTATGCTAAACATAACTAGATGCTACCTAAAATCCAATCCATTGCATCCTTATTTCAAAAAACATGTGAACAACCCCTTTGAAAAACTGGTAGCTTCTCATAAAGTTAAACATATTCTTACCATATGACCCAGCAATCTCACTTCTAGGTACATATAGTGAAGGGAAACAAAAATTTTGTCCACACCAAGACTTGCACATGAATGTTTATGGCAGATTTATTCATAACAGACCAAAACAATGCAAACTACCCAAATGTCTACCACCAGAAGAATAAATAAACTAGCTCTGACATATTCATACAATGGACTGTTACTCAGCAATAAAAAGGAACAAATTACCAATCCAGACAACAGCACAGATGAATCTCAAAAATATTGAGTGAAAGAAGTCAGACACAAAAGGCCACATATTGTTTGATTCCATTTGCACAGAACAGGCGTAAATAACCTACGGTGATAGGGATCAGAAGAGCTGTTGCTTGTGGGGTGGATATTTACTAGGAAGGGGCGTGAGGGAGCTCTTGGAAGTGTTGGAAATGTCCTCCATCTTAATGAGGGTGATGGGTACCACGTGGATTTACACATTTGTCACAACTCACCAAGTTATACACTTAGGGTCTGTGCATTTCACTGTAAGTAAATTATTCCTCAATAAAAAAAAAGTACATGAAATATTCAGCTACTTAGTGTTGTAGAAATTAAGCAAAATTGTTATGAATTATAAAGTAATGATAAGTGTGGAGGCAGCCCTTTTTAAAGCCACAGTTTACAGAATATCTACTCTGTGCCAGAAACTATACATATATCATCTTCAATCTTTACAACTCTCAAAGCAGGTTTCACTATCTCCATTCTACATATGAGCACACTGGGGCTTAGAGCAGGTAAACTAAACCGCTCAGGACACACAGCTAGGCAGTAGCAGAGCTGGGCTTTGAACCCAGATGTCTCTGGCTCCAATGTCTGTTCTCTTCCTGCCATCCCTTACTGCCTACCTGGTGGGTCTAACAGTCCCTTCTCCTTTATGGGCCTCAGTCTCCCCATCTATCAAATGTAGGAGTGGGCATGGCCTCTAATCCCTAGGGGTCCTCAAGCCAGGACCCTAAACTGGCCATCTGGTTTCCTTCAGGGAATGCAGGCAGAATCCCTGTCGACTCCCTCAGGGCTTCTCCTTGAAGGCTGAGCTGGCTGTTGCAAGGCCCATTGAGCACCTTTGGAAGACTCAATGCGCTCTTACTCTCAGAATTGCTAGTGGCCATGGCTCTAAGCTCAGGCTTGACACAGCTTGCAATCTCTCTTTGCTAACCCCACTAAAGCCACAAGGAAGGAGCTGGCCAGACCCTTGGGACATCAGGGCCCTGAAGCAATGCTCCTAGTCTCCTTGGGTAGAGTCCACAGAGACCACAAGCCAACTGACCATGGCCAAGAAACGTCAGAGATGGAGAAAGTTGGAGGCAACATTTCAGCCCCTTCACCTTGCAAGGCTCAGACAACTGGGGATCCTGAATAAGCCACAAGCACTACCTCTGCTCCACTTTTCCTCCCCAAACACATGGACATGCACTCAAAAGCAAAGCTGGGGGTTATTTCTCCACATCCAGCTCACATGTAATTCCTGGGCTGTGCACAGACCCCAGTGGAGAGGAACTGTACTTGAGGGATACTCAAATTCTGAGAACTATCATTGCTTAGTCATATGAAAAACTGTGTCCCACTGTTCCTCGGAGAAACTTGAGCAGCTTAGTCCTCAAATGAGCCCTCTGTAAGACTCATGAGTGAATTGATGAGATGGATCTGGCCAAAGAGAAGGGGGTGCTGTGAAGCTGGACCTGAGGGGACGTCACTGAGGCTGAAGGCAGGGTGGGAGCCTCCTGAAGATGTTCCTGTATCAGTGCCCAGCTTGTAGCCAAAGCCTCTTTTAGGCAAAACCCCAAGGCCAAGCTTGGCCACCTGTGCAGTCAGAAGAGCATAATTATAAAACTAAACACAACTTGCAACTTTCTCAGCTCACAGAATATAGACACCAAATGCTCCAAGTGGACCTCAAAATACTTGCCCAAACTTCTGCAAAAATATCTTTGAGCACGGAATCCAAAGTTAGCAGTTTGGCTTCAAGTCTACTACAGTCTGCTTGCATGGACATGCTTACCACACTTCTGCAAAATGGTACCTAGTATGGGGTTGGGGGGAGGGCGGTCAGAGGTGTTGATAGTCACAATGGAACAAAAAACCCAAAGAAACCAGATTGTTTCTCATTGAGCAAAGCATGTGATGCCTCCTCTCCATTTCTTCCCAGTCAAATTTCTATCCCCTTTCCCCCCAAAAGTCCCCAGCTTCTCTTACCTTAATTCCGGACTATCACCTGAGACAGAACAAGAGTCTATGGCTGGGAAGAGGCAGGTTTTGATGGCCAGAGCTGCTTGGCCCACGTTAGAGCTTCTCAGTGCTTGCGGAAGCAGGAGCTGGGGATTTGTACCCTCCCCTTGCTACTTCTACCCCTCTAGCTGGGGCTTTGCAAGGCGTTCCTGTTAGCTATCCATTAAGAATGCAGAAAATGCACTCCAACGAGTCAACCTGGTTGGGCACCTGCAAGAATGAGGAAAATGGGTAGCTCTTTTTTACTTCTTTCTTTTTTCATTAAAAAGACAAGCACTTTGTCATACTGTCTCTTCAACCAGGATGCCAATTGTTTGCCCGAAACCATACACAGGGTCAATACCTCTAAAACATCAGTTATGGGATTTAGATCAAACTGATGTCCCATTGGGTCTCGGGAAGTGAGAGTCAGTTTGAATTATCTCTAGTTTCTCCCTCTCTCCCTGTGGCAAGAAAAGGGCAGCCCAGAACCCTAGGATTCTGGACTTGTCATGGGCTTCCGTGGGCCATAGAGGGAGTGAAGACTTCTCTGAACCTGTTATAGGTGAAGCAGTTCAGGAACCCCAGCAGGAGGTTTGGAGCAGTGGGTCCCAGTCCACATTTTGAAAACCCCTCGCTATTACCTCAGTAAGGGGCACCCTCCATTCAGACCCCAAACCCTGGAGCCATTTTTTGCTCCTCTCTTTCTTTATTTCAACAACATTAATTCAACAAATATTTATTGAACACCGATTATGTGTCAGGCACTATTCTGTGAGTTCCATTCTAGTGAACAAAATAGACCAACTCCCTGCCTTCATGGAATAAATACACGTATGCAGTATATGTTTGTGTATGTACATACATATGTCCATTATATGTATAATGTCAGATGATGATAAGCACTATAAAGAAAAATTAAGCAGGGAAGGGGAGTAAGAAATGCTGGGGTGTTGATGCTGATTCACAGAAGGAGGTCAAGATCGGACTCTCTGATAAGGAGACTTTTGCAGAGGACCCTGAGGGAGAAAGCCACGTGGATACCTGCTTTCCTGATACGTGAGAGAACATTGAATGCACAAGGTTGAGGTCATGCTTAGTCTGTTCACAGAACAGCAAGGAGGCCAGTGTGGCTGGAGAGGAGGGAGTGCGGGGAGGGGGAGACGGGCCAGATCACATCGGACCTCATCAGCCATGCTCAGGCTTTTGACTTTTCCTCTAAGTGAGGCGACCCACTAAAGGGTTTGGAGGAACACCTCAACAAATCCTGAAAGATCTACCTTCCAAATGCTTTCCAATCTGTCCTTTCTCACCACCTCCCCCAAACACACCCTAGTCCCAAACCCCATCATTTCTCCTCATCATCACCATTGCCTCCTAACTGGATTCCTTATTTCCATCAATATGGCTTCCTAATCCATTCACCCCAAGACAGCCACAATGATCATTTTAGAACATACATAGAACCCAGGCACTCCTTGTTTAAAAACTTAGCAGTTTCTCTTCCCACAGCATGGCCTACAAGGCCCTCCACCACCCGGGCCCTGCCTCGATCTGTCTTTATCTGCTGCCATGCTTACTTCCCTCCACTGCTCTTTACTAAGTTTCTGGCTGTTCCTTGAACAGGTTAAACACCTTCTACTCTTGATTTTCCCTATTTCCTCTCCCCAGAATGCTCACCCCCCTGGGCATCCTTGTGACTTGCTCTCTCACTTCATTCAAAACTCTGCACCATCACTTCTTCCGAGGAGCCCTCTCTAATCGTACTACTCCAAGTGGCAACCTTTCCAAGTCTCTGTCCTATTACTCTACTGTGTGCTTCTTCATAGCACTTTTCACCTCTTGATATTATAATGCATATTTATTTGTTTACGGTCTGTCATCCCTTCTACAATAATGCCCAGTATATAATGAGAACCCAGTAAATATTTGTTGAATGAACGTATGAGAAGTGTTGGGGTGGGGGAGAAAAAATATTCCAATGTTCACACAAATAAATGTACAACGGCAACGGTGATGAATCGATGCCTGGTACTGGGAGAGCCTGTGATAAGGAATCCTGACTTAATCTGGGAAGACAGGGTACTCTCCCTGTTGAAATGATGCTGAGATCTGCTAGGCTGAGGAGTTAACCAAGCAAAGAGGGGAGCAAGGAGCGTTCCACGTGGAGGAACAGTACGTGCAAAAGCCCTGAGGGGGGTGGGGCCTGGCAAATATGAATGACAGGAGCAAAGGAAGCAGACTGTTTGGAGTGGAGACCATGGGAGGGAGCAAGATGAAGATGAGCTGGAAATGTGAGCAGGGGCCAGAGTAAGCAGGGCTTTGTAGGCCGTACTGAGGAATTGTGTCTTTTTCCTAAGAATAAGAAGCTATCAAAGAGTTCTACTGAAATACATGTTGAGGAGTGTGGGGAAGGAGAGGTGGGTGAAAATGACATAATCAGATGTGCCTTGTGAAAACATCAGTCTGGCTGCAGTGTGGAGAAAGGATTGCAGGAGTAAATGGACGTGAATAGACCAGTTAGAGAGCTATTCCCATAGTCTAGGAAAGAGATGGTGGTAGATGCATCTGAGAGTTGAGAGGAAGGAGCTGGATGAGAGTAGAGGGAAGTGAATGGATTCAAGAGGTATTCATGAAATAAAATCAATACATTTGGTACTGAATTGGATATTGGAAAGGAAGGGTCTTAAGGGTAATTCCTAGGTTTGGGAGTTTCATAACTTGATTGATGAGTGTGCCTTCCACTGAGATATGAAACATTAGAAGAATGTCATGTTTAGGAGAGAAAATAAAGTCTTCCATTTTGAACATGTTGATATTGAAGAGTGCTGGAGTCATCTAAGAATAGATGATGATAGTCACTTAGTTGGAAGAGAGGTCTGAGTTAGAGACACAAATTTGGGGGCCAATGGCTAATGAAGCCTTTGGCTCTAACTCACCCCCGGGGAGGGTAGAAAGTGAGACATAAAGAGGGACTAAGACCAAGTTTTGTGTAATGCCAACTTTTATGGGCCAGGTGGATGTAATGAGCCAGGAAACATTACTGAGAGAAATGGGCAAGGAGGTAGGATGAAAACCAGAAGAAAACTACTATCCTAAAGCCTAAAGAAGAATGTATTTCAAGATGGTGGAACTGGTCACCTGTGCCAGATGCTGCTGAGAAATGAGAGAGTCTGATGTCTGAAAAATGTTTGTTGGATTTAGTAGCATGGAGATCATAAGTGACATTAGTGGGCACTGTTTGCTGGATGATGAGGCCAAAGGCAGATTCAAGAGGGATGGGAGAAGAAGAGAGGAAGAGCCGGTACTGACAACGTGGAGAGTACTTTGCAGGAGTTTGGAGGTGAAAGAGTGGAGAGATAAAACAGAATCTGGGGGTGAGAGTAGGAGGGGTTGAGTGAGGTGGTTGTTTATTTTTCTCAAAGGGACAGATTTTAGCATGATTAAAGGCCAATGGAAAGGATCCAGTTGAGAGCAAGAGTTTGAATATAGCACAGAAAGAAGGTGTTGTTAATAATATAAAGTTCTGGAGAAAGCAGGAAGGGAAGATCAAAGTCCAGCTGGAAGGACTGGCTTTCAGTAGGAGGCACTGTTCTGTTGTAAGAGGAGTAGAAGAGCATAGGATGGGCACAGACACAATGAAGTTTATAACATTGGTACATGTGGTAGATATTGCTTATTTACTTATTTTTAGTGGTAGGGGAATTGGACTAGGCAAGAGATCTTGAGTCTAGTCTGGGATCTTCCCCTAAATAGATTTGCAACCTTGGGGAAGTTATTTCTCCTTTCTTTACCTATTTTTTAAGTGAGGGTAGTCTATTAGATGATCTCTAAGGTTTCTTACAGCTATGCTATTCAAGAGAGCGGTAAATCAAGAGAAAATAAAGTCGGGCCGGCCCGTGGCTCACTCGGGAGAGTGCGGTGCTGATAACACCATGGCCATGGGTTCGGGTCCCATATAGGGATGGCCGGTTTGCTCACTAGCGGAGCATGGTACTGACAACAGCAAGTCAAGGGTTAAGATCCCCTTACCGGTCATCTTTTAAAAAAAAAAAAAAAGAGAGAGGGAAAATAAAGTCCAAAACAGTAGAAAATTAACAACTTAGAATGTTAATGTTATTATGTTTTCATTTTTTTTTTTTTTTTTGGCAGCTGGCTTGTACAGGGATCAAACCCTGGACCTTGGTGTTATCAGCACCATGCTCTGACCAACTGAGCTAACTGGCCAGCCCATGTTATTATGTTTTCATTTTTTTTTTTTTTTTTGGCAGCTGGCTTGTACAGGGATCAAACCCTGGACCTTGGTGTTATCAGCACCATGCTCTGACCAACTGAGCTAACTGGCCAGCCCATGTTATTATGTTTTCATTTTTTTTTTTTTTTTTTTTTGGCAGCTGGCTTGTACAGGGATCAAACCCTGGACCTTGGTGTTATCAGCACCATGCTCTGACCAACTGAGCTAACTGGCCAGCCCATGTTATTATGTTTTCAAATGCGAGTGCTCACTTCCAGTTCAAGGTGATGGACCAAGCCAATATATTTAATCTCATTTTCCTTCCAAAATTCCACTAAAATGCCAAAAGAAATATAAAAATAAGAAAAAATCCAGAGCAGTGCTAGAAAGCCAGAAAAGATATCACCAGCAGACCAGAAAAATACAGTGGGCTAGGTACTGCACTGAACAGTTTACATGTAATAAGCCATTTAAACAATTCTACAAGGTAGATACTGTTATTATCCAATTTTTTAAAATTGGATAAACAGAGCCATAGAGAGGTCAAGTAGCTTGTCCAAGCCATGCAGTCTGGGTCTAGTCTGCACCACTATGTTATGTGACCTTCTAGAAACAGTGAGAAAAATTTCTAGAAATTATAATATGGAACCTACACTACGTTATCATAGGAATAAAAGAAGGATATTAGAGAACTGGTCATGAATTCTTCTAATGGAGCCTCACAAAAAGCTCAGAGTTAGCAGTGGCTGGGAGCTAGAGTGAGTCGTGGATCAGCAAGCAGAGAAGTGAGCTGAAGGTCTGCCAAAGCAACTGGGACACTCTCCAGTTCTGCG